TTGCCACGATTCCTAAACCAAAGACAAAGGGCTCAGCAAGAGAGTGTCACCCTAAACCCTGAACCCTATCCCACCCCCCTACAGTGGGAGCGGGAAAGTTGGAAGATGGTTTGCCGAGATTGGCGCATGGTGCAAGACATCTTCCAACTTTAAATTTGGCTGTCATTTCTTCCAAATTTCATGTTTTCCAACTTTTGTTTTCAAAGCCCAGAGACCTATCAGCACCACTCGGGGGACTACTCGCGCTTGCTGCCGCCACGCGAAGGCCAGGCTCGCATGCTAGGAACTCGCGCATGTGACCTGACAATGGGAAATCACACGCATGACTTTGGCAGGAGCACGCATCCAGCGCTATGCTCCTCCGGGCGAGGTGGAGCGCTTCCAGGTCTGCTACCCTCGCAACCCGGGGGACGTGCATGCCCCTTGTTTGCGTTCTGTCGTGCGTCGCGCAAGGAGTGTTGCTGCACAAGTATGCTATAAGGAAAGCACCAGCTCCCAAAGCCAGAACGCCCTGCAGCATTGCCTGAGCTGGGCCTGGGCCAGGCATGCTAAGTGGGTGGCACTAGGCCACGCTGCGTAAGCCTTTGTTTGGGGTCGCAGCACTGTTTTGCTGAAGCAACATAATGTCATGCACAAGAAGTCAACCTGCAACTTGCAAAACGAACAGCGCTGCTGTAGGGTGAACTGTAGCTTCGTGCAAACACGAAGCTGCACGGGGACCTCATCAGGGGACAGGAAAACGGCCGCAGCAGTTGCAGTCCTTTTTGACATGGGACACCTGCTACGTGAAATTTCTCGGAGGGGCTGCCGAAATTGGTCAATTTCTTGCGACGAGACCACGATGCTTAGTGCAATTCTAGGTATCGCATTCTGAGCTATGATGAACAGTGTATGTGACCATGCTTGGAGTGCCGATGGTAACCAACAGTGGAAGCCAAACACGCTTGTAAGTCGGCAACATTTGGCTGAAGGCCCCAAGCCCCAGAAGGGCCAAGGCTCAGCAACTGTAACTTTAGATTCGGCCAGCCATAACGTGTGCGTGTCCCCTGCTGCACAGAGCTCACCGGACTTCAGTGCCTGCGAGAGCCAAAAGAGGGACACCGCGAGTGCATGCAACGCGACCCTAAACCCAGGCAGCAGCCATTTCGTTGTGCTGGTCGCCAGCGCGTCGCGCATGGCCAGCAACAACGAGGGCTGCAGGCCTAAGTCGGAAGGAACACATATGTGTGTATCTGGCGACACTAGAAGCTTTGAAGGGGCTGCCGATGCTGGTCGATTTCTAAACACAGCGTTAATAGAGATTTTACATTCGATTTTGGGGTCCCGGCTCGGGAGACCCCACGTCGAGCAGGGCGACTGCAAAGCTGAAAGCTGCCGCAATAGGTGCTTTTCCACATGGGACGCCTGGTAGGCGAAATTTCACAGTTTTCGTTGCGCAAGCTTCGGCAAGACCCTAAACCCAGCAGAAGTGACGTACCGAGTTGAGACTTTCGAACTACTGTTTGTGCGGGTCCCGCAAGAACAGAAGGTGCGGCCATGGGCCTAGCTGCGGCCGTCCTTGTGGGTTTGGTGGCACTAGATGATCCGTACGATGTTTCTGCCATTTGTTTGTGCTGGTCGCCAGCGCGTCGCGCAAGTCCAGCAACAACCAGGGCTGCGGGCCTACGTAAACAAGAACACATATATGTGTGTGTCTAGCGATACTGGAAGCTTTGAGGGCTGCCGAATCTGTTCGATTTCTAAATACAGCGTCAATAGAGAAATTCGATTTGGGGGTCCCGGCTAGGGAGACCCCACGCAGAACAGGGGCTTTCCAAAGCGGAAAGTTTCGGAAAATGGTCCTTTTCCTCATGGGACGCCCGGTGCGTGAAATTTCACCGCTTGGGTTGCGGAAGCTTCGGCACGACCATAAACCCAGCAGAAGAGACGCGCCGAGTTGAGACTTTCGAATTGCTGTTTGTGCGGGTCCCGCAAGAACAGAAGGTGCGGCCATGGGCCTAGCTGCGGCCGTCCTTGTGGGTTTGGTGGCACGACATGATTTTACGACCTTGCCGCCATTTGGTTGTGCTGGTCGCCAGCGCATCGCGCATGTCCAGCAACAACCAGGGCTGCGGGCCTACGTAAACAAGAACACATATGTGTGTGTCAAGCGATACTGGAAGCTTTGAGGGCTGCCGAATCTGGTCGATGTCTAAATACAGCGTTAATAGAGAAATTCTATTTTGGGGTCCCGCCTAGGGAGACCCCACGGCGAACAGGGGGACTGCAAAGCTGAAAGCTGCCGCAGTTGGTCCTTCTCCACAGGGGACGCCTTGTACGTGAAAGCTGACAATTTTCGTTTCTGAGCTTCGGAACGACCCTAAACCCAGCAGATGAGACGTGCCGAGTTCAGAATTTCGAGTTTTGTGCGGGTCCTAACGGACTTGTAGCAGGAATAAAATGTGAGAACACAAAGTGGCACCCGCCATACCTTTCGCTCAAAAGCAAGCTAGTGGCGCTCTGGTAGCTTATGCCATGTTCTTGGCATCTGGTGACGAAGTCTGCAAACACTTCGCAGCTGCTTTCGTATCGTCGCGGGTGGCACGCGCTCTACATTGTTTCCTCGGGATTGATTCCTTAGGATGGTTTGGGCACATAACATTTGCCCAATACTGCGTGCCTTGTTCCTTTCCGGAAAATATTCACTTGGGGCACATATCATTAATGTTGCCCAATATATAGTATATTTTTATGAGAAAGAAGCACGTCACTGATCCCTCGGTGCGATCGCCTCAACTCTGCAGAGTTCAGGGTTTATGCTTTTAGGTTTAGTTTAAGATTGATCTAAGTTTTCTGCCTCGCACCTTCTGCCACGGTCGTTTTGTTTTGGAATTTGGGGGCGGGCTTGAGGAGACTCTGACCAAAGCACATGACAAAACCCTTTAGTGTCAGCGAACCCTATATTTCCTGTTGCCCAACTTGTTTCGTGAACATGAGGCATCGGCGTGACCAAATCGCCAAATGCCCGCGTAGACCCTTAGTCAGGCCTGAGAGCACTAGGAGACCCCACCCGCAATACTACATAACTCCCAAAACAGCATACTACGAAGAACCCAGGAGGACACTGCCAGGCTGTTTCCCCCGAGCGGCTCACAAAAGATCCCCCAAGTACTGGCGGGATTCAGGAGATTTCGGCTTGGGGCTGCAATGCTTTCGTAATCCATTTCCCCAAAAACTGGCGGGATTCACGCTGATGCACAACATGCCTCCCTCAGACTGGTGCCGCATTCAGAACCACGGCCAACATCCTGTACCCGACTACTGGCGGGGTTCAGAAACGGGCGGGGGTGCGGGGGGATTACTCTCCTGTAATTACAATACAGGGGGCAAACCCACCGTACACCCGCATTCAGAACTACCCCCGCCATCATTTGCCGCAAGAACTGCCGGAATGCAATCGCAATCGACGGCACGGTGGAATCGCTTTCGCCCAAGTACTGGCGTCTTCAGGACAAACCGTAAAACACTTTTTCGCCCGAGTACTGGCTGTAATAATCGCTTTCCCCCAAGTACTGGCGTTTCCGGGTCGCACCATCAAACTTTTTTTCCACCGAGTAAAAGCAAAAAGTATTGCCAATCAAGTCCAGCGGCGGAAAGCTTTGCCCCAAGCAAAGCCGGGATTCGGAAGCAATCGAGGGCACAGTGAAATTGTTTTCCCCCAAGCACTGGCTTCTCCAGGACGCACCGTGAAAGTACTTTCCCTTGAGAACTGGCAGAAATACGACCGACCCAGCCGAACCGCGGATCCGGCGATGCGGGGGTGCGGGGTTGCCCTTCCCGGGATGCGGGGTTGCAGGGTGCTGCCGGGCTAGAAGTGCAGTGCCTGCCAAGCAGAATAAAGTTGGAAGATCGCACTAAGAGGCTTCCTCCTTTTGGAGAGCATGCGGGGTGCCGGACTGTCCAAAACGGAAAGTCGGAAGATTGGGTTTCAGGTCCAAGCGCGCCGCAACGCACTTTCCAACTTTGTGCCTTCCACCATAATTCAAAATGGGTTTTAAAGGGCAGGGATTATTCCGGGTGGATGTCGGTCAATGCATTTTTTTATTAGGGGAGCACTTAATAAAACGGGGGAGGGATTATGTATGCATGTGTATACAACATACATATATATATATACACACATAAACGTGTGTACATATATATATATATATACACATACATATATATATATAATGGAGGAGCCGAGTCAACTGTTCATGTGCTCCGGTCACAGGCTGGGACGATCATAGCAGCTTTTGAAGCTCGAGCCAAGTGCGTGATTAAGACTTCTCATCCATTGTACACTTGGGCTTTTAGACATGCTTCATTGCTCGTCAACCAATTTTCAGTCCAGGCGGGAGGCATCACGGCTTACGAAGCCGCTACAGGACGGCCTTATCGAGGGCCTGTCGTGCCTTTCGGAGAAACCTACATGATTTTGGTCCGTCAGGTTCCCAAAGGCAAGGCTCGATTTGTGCAAGCTTTGATGCTTGGAAAGATCGCCTCCTCGGACCAGTGCTGGAAAGCTCCTTTTGAGCCGCACTGCCCGCAGACTGTCCAAAAGCATTTGAACCTATGCAGCCGAAGGTGCTGCGAGATCCTACGTGGATGCATGGCAGGTTTCTTGCTGGGACCACCGGTCGGGCCAAAGCTCAGGTCAGAAAGCCCACACTGCCTGCACGTGGAATTGCTGTTGATTTGCCCGACGAGCGTGCTGACGTAGCGAGCCCGTACTCCCAGCTGCTTGACAGCGCCACCTTCGCTGGCGGGGCAGGCGACATTGATGCTCTAGGTGATGGTCCGGTGCCCACTGATGAGGCCGGGTCAGACCCAGAGTCGAGCCAGGCTTCCGTTGTGCCTGATCTCCCTGGATCACAAGACCGTTGAGACCGTACTCCGCTTGGCTTACCAGCTCGCCTGCAACGCCTCCTGGTTCTGTGCCTGCGCAGCCTGTTGCTGCCACAGCTGCTTCTGCAGCTCCTGGACCTCCTGTGCCTCCTGTCCCAGGTGATGATGAGGACATGTCACCAGGCCCCGAGGCCAAACGTGCCAGGATTGCAAAAGTTACAGGTGTAGATGTACCGGTCGGCAATGGAAAGCTGACCATGTACCACAGCGATGAGTATCTATCTGAGTGTGCGAATGATGTTGCCGTCGCGGACCCGTTCTGCAATGAGGACGACAGCGACGAAGGCCCTGTCAGTGACGACGAGGACTCCTCAGCTCTTAATGGTGCTCCACCTCTCGAGCTGTTCTTTCCTTTCAGTACCAGTGATCCTGAACTCTCTGAGAGTGAGATGTCACATTTGGCCCATGTGGCCGATCAGCACGAGATTGCGCGCCTTGAGCGCATGGGAGTGTTGAAGCCACTTGAAGGTGACACAGCGCACTACAGTCAGTTGTCGACTCGTTTCGTTCGCAGCTTCCGCCCGAAACCACATCCGGTCACTAAGGCCCCATCCTTGTTGTATCGATCCCGCCTGGTAGCAAGAGAATACAAGCGATGCGACCCTTTTCGAGACGACTTGTATTCCCCAGCTTCGCAAGCGATCCTTAACAGAGTACTGCCAGCCCTTAGGCAATCATATGGCACAACTGGGGCCATACTGCTGGCCGCCGATATTGCTGACGCCTACTTCACTGTGGCTCAGGAGAAGCCGACGGTAGTAACTTTGGGCTATGGCATCTCGTACTCTTTAGTCTTTAGGGTTTACGGTCAGAGAGCGGGCTCTCGGGGATGGTTTGAATCTTTTACCACGTTTTTGGTTGAGCGTGTCGGTGCCGAGTTGTGGCGGGGATGTGAAGCTCTTTACCGCTTGAAGCCCGCTGAAGGGCATTCAGATCCATCGCTGGCATGTTGCATGTCGACGGCACCATCGCCGCTGGATCCCGCAGCCGCCTTGAAAGCATGCTTGATGAAGTACAAAATTTCGGCTGAGTTGATGATCCAGGAAGAGACGAGATCTCTTTCTTGAAACGCAAGCATGTGCAAGGGAAACCTTTGTCATAACCATCGTGGGAACCACTGCTACATTAGCAACGCAAAGCTCATCTGACGGGGGCGAGGTTATACGGAATATCGTGTACCAAACCCTCACCCAGGTTATCAGCCGTAGGCTCTGCCTACACAAGAAGTTTGACATCGAAACGCACATCAACTATGACATCAGGATCGAGTGCAGATACAACCATGACCTTTGGGGGTGGTGAAGTGGCAATGCCAGCAGCAGGTGANNGTGAGTCTACTGCCGAAGAAGCATTGACTATTTCTGTTGGGTACCAGAGCAAAAGAAAGTGAACGACGATCGACGAAAACGGTGATACAGTGTTGGCAATCGAGCAAGAAAGGCAAAGACCGTGAACCGAGAAGCCCTGAACAGACAAAGTCGAGACCTTCATCGAGAAGTACGTCGCGGAGAGCTTCTATGAAACCAGCACAGTCATCCTCGTCTATGGTCAGGCGGCGATCGACCGATGCCAACTCGATGCCAGGAGCAAGGGATACGGCTAGGTCTGAACCAAGTGGCCTGGATACAGCTGATGTGGCGTTGGAGAGAGGTATACAGTCTCATCAACAAGAAGCACTGCATAACAGTCTTCCCGTGTTGAGCCGTATGAGTCAACCTCAGAGTCAATCACAAGCAGTCAACCATCAGATTATCGAGCAGCTGATGCATGCAGAGGAAAGGATGCGAATCTTTCATCAAGAAGATATTCTGCAGCATGAGCCGATCGTGATGAACTTGACTACGCGGTTGAATGAGTTGATACAAGAGGATCAAGGGTCAACGATGAGGATCGAGGAGCTTGAGCGTCAACGAAACATGCTACGTTCTGCAGTTGAGCACGTGAACCTGGTACATCAAAGCTCGAAATAGGAGTATGTGCAAGGGATACGGAGAATTGAGGAAGCGAGCTACGCTCAGCATCTTCGTGATGAAGAAGTGGCTACGTCTCTACACCGCGAGTTGGGCCAGTTCCGGAGCGAGGCAGTTCAGAACTTTGCGAACTTCGAACAGCAAGCACAAGGAGTAGCAGAGCAGTAGTAGCAGCAGT